AACTAAATAGCCATCTTGGTACCAAAACACAAAAAGAGACTATTTGTCATTAGCAGGAGTGCTCCTGCCTGCTCAGTCATACTTAGCATTTTGTCTAGATAGCAGTTTTGCTCTAAAGTCTAAAGATGTAGACTTCAGCATCCTGAATGAAGTGGGGTACATGCATAACTTCTGAATTCTGCTCCTAACATTGTGCATTTCAGTATTTGTCTATTATAGTAATGGTTTTGCCAAAGAGACTTTTAAAGTACAAAAACAACAGAGTAAAACATGAAGTTGATGATACTATGTCTGAAGGATGCAATAAAATGCTTAGTTTTAATTGTAGTAATAGAGGGTCAGGCATTTCAGCAAGCTCAGAGTTCTGTTTTGATTTCAAAGTTGATACCACTCCCTGAACTCAAAAGCTGTAAGACTGAGATTTTAAAAACCAAATATATTGGTGCACTCTTGTTTTGATTCATACTTATGTGTCAGCAGTCACAGCTGATGATATTTACATTTAGACTGCTGGTTGCATGTTCCTTAATCTTTTTGCCTATGCTCATTCTATTGAGCAGAAGAAAACATGTATTGTCAGAAAAAGTTTGCTCTATAAACAGTGACATATCTCTCCACCTAAAGCCAAACCAGTCACACTCTCCATAGCAGATTCAGCTCCTTAGGATTAGAGATGCATCCACGCATCTATTCTCAACATGCTTGTCAGAGCAGACAGGTTTCAGTTGATCATACCTTCCAAAACTTGTGCATTATATAAAGGTGTTGCCAGACAGATAAAAAAACAACAACAACAAAATTCCACATAATTACAAAGGGGAATTTGAAGTTGTGGGGTCCTCCTAAGAGAGATTAATGAAACTGATCGTGTTGCATTAAACATTTCCGGTATCAGTTTACAGGAATAAGAATAGATGTGGACAGGGAAAAACTTAAACAGAGAAGGAGATTTCAGCTGTAACACCCCAGTCAAAACAAAATCGTTTGCTCTGTCAGGAGCTATACAACAACAGAGACTTACAGATGTAGATGGGCAAGTTACAAGCGCCCCAGTAAATAAGCACATGTACAGTTTACCTTTGTAAATAAAACCAGAGCTAGGAAACGCCGCACTGACAGCCGCCAAGAACTGCGAGTTTTGATTCCCGGTGGTGCCACCTCGCTGCCGCAGATGCCGGGGAGTCCCAGCTCCGGGGGAAGTTCCTCCGGCCCCGCTGCCAGGCTCCATGCTGGGCCGAGGCAAGCGTCCCCCGGGACGTGGCACGGTGGCGGGGCTACCCCGCTCCCCCCGCCGGGAGAGGCGCCTCTCTTCGCCCCGCACCTCTCCCCTCCCCCAGTTAAACCCACAACAACAAAGGAGGCAGGGGAGGAAGGGCGATCTCGCCCCTTTCCCCCGAGCCCCGCGATCGACCCTCTGGCCGAAGCCGAGGGCAAGCGGGCGCCCCCCGAGCAGCGGCCCTCCACCCACCCGGCGGCGCGGCCCCAGCCCCGGCCCCTCACCGTGCTGGGTGAAGATATTGAAGCCTCCCTCGGCGGTGCGCCCGGCAGCCTCCCGCCGGCGGCCCGCCGGCTTGGCCGCGCTGCTACCCCGCAGCCCCCGCGGCTGCTGCTGCTGAGGCGGCGGCTGGTGCTGGAGCCCGGCGCCCGGCTCCCCGACGCGGCCCACCTGCTGCCCCATCGCCGCGCTCCCGGCCGCGGCCCGCGCTCACATGCCGCCGCTGCTCCCCGGCCCGGCAGGCGGCCTCCCGCTCCTCCCCCCGGCGCGGCGCGCCGCGGCCCGGCCCGGCCCGGCGGCTCCCGCCCGCCTTGCCGCCCCCGCCGGTCCCCGCGGCGCTCCGGCCTGGGACTCACGAACTCGCCCCCTCAGCCCCCGTCGCCATCTTAAACCACAGAGCGCCGGGAGAGCGGGGACAGAGCGGCTCCTGCAGCCGCCTCCGGTCCTCCGAGGGAGGTCGCTCACCCCTCCCCAGCAGCGGCAGTCTCGCGCGGTCGATCCGGCACGGTCGCAGGAGCAGTGTGGCTGTGACGGGGACAAGTAGGGACTGAGGAGCAGGACCCCGGGGTACTGCCCGCATTGTGCCCTCGGAGGGACCTTCCTTCTTGGCCACGATTTGAGGCGCGGGCAACCTTACCGAGTGCTGCGGCCGTGGCCCGAAGGTTGCCCCACTCAGGGCAGCTGAGTGCCGGCCCCACAAACACGCTTTCCCTGCAAGCTAAAGCAAGGCTGGTTCACCTGCGAACCCAAGCAGATGTGAGGTGTGATGCTGGGGTCGCGTACCCGACTGCAGAAGGGAGCGGTGGTGGGCCCGTCCTGAGCCATACACATCTCCTCCATGGCTCACCAGGCCCTGGATGAGCTCCTCTCATCCAGGACCTGCTCTCCTGGCCAGGGGCGTAGAGGAAGAGAAAGGCACTGTGTGTGAATACCATCAGGCAATCAGGCATATTAGTGGCCGTGTGTCGCTGACAGCAGCATCTTGTCATCGGGTGGCTGAACATACACTCTATTCTGTAATTGGTAAACTGTTTCCTTTCCGCTTCTGTAATGTTAGCATAAGGTGGTCCAATTCAAAGCAGAAAGGAGAGGTTTCATTCTGAAAGATAATGGTCTTTGTTGCAGTTTAGAGGAACTAAGAAGTATTTCAGTCACCATGCTGGCTACTATTTCAGCAATGCTGTGGCGATGTTGCTTCATCGTGGATGAGCTGTCATGTTGCTCATCTCAAATGCCCTCACCACATCAGTGAGAACTGACATGACAGTGACAAACTGGCTTGGTAAGACCCAGAGCCAGCCAAGGAGCTACTGCAGCCTATGGCTGGACCAACCTTTGTGTGGCTGTCCTGGGTTGGGAAGGTGAGAAGAAGCTTGTTTGCCAGTTCCATGAAAGTCAGCTTTCTTCATTATATTTGTAGTTACAGGAATTCTAAGGCTGTAGTTTACCTTCTCAGGATCATGAGGTGGTACCAAAATTCTATCCATACTATCACATGCACTCAGACTGCACCCTGCCTAAAATAGGGGTGGCTCGTCCAGCTGGCTGGTGTGTACTCTGACGCAGGCTGGAGTAAATGGGAGTGAGGAGCACATGGAGCCGGAAATGCCTTAACTCATTAAATTATTGGACTAAAAACACACAGCAAATTATTTCTGGGAACATCTGAGTTGTAACATAGGGTATGCATTGCCACGTCCAGGACCATGTATATGAATGGTTATGTGTATATGAGCAGAGGCTGTCTCTGCAGGATGGACAGTCTCTGGCAGAACTGGCCCACATGGGTAAACTGCAGTGGAGATATTTCCTGGTCTCATTCCAGCTAGAATTTGCAGGGTTTGGCATTTGTAAATGGTTTGCCTTGTAAACAAAATATATGTTCTCTGAAGACTGTAGAGAGACAACAAACACGGAATTCCCTCACACCATTTGCAGTTGCCACTTTAAAAATCAAATATGATTTTTCTTTCCTAATGCCTTTTGCTTGCTGATCCTAAAGAAATATCCAGAGAAAGGCCATTAGCAATTTAAAAGAAGATACAGTGTCAAGAGACTATTATACGTAAGTGCACTAAGGGGAATTGGGTTCAAACACTATTCTTATTCCTCAGATCTCATGAAATTCTTCCTTCTCTCTACCAGCAGCGTGTGCACATATAGCAGCTTGCTGTGAGTTACATTAATGTCTGACTGCATGGAGCTTGTCTGGCACAGAGAAATGTCTTTATTGGGGATGGAGTCAGGCAAGGGCTTTCTAAAAAGGCCTCTTACAAGGGGAAGAGGGCTGCAGCATGGTTACCATTTGTTACCATAGTATTTTAAGATCATGCTGTATCCTATTAAAAAAAGTTTCAAAACTAGTGGCTCAGCCATTGCTGGTTGTGTGCTAAACAAGCCATACCCTCAGACTGTACCTTGCTAGGTCCTCCCAACAACATAGTTTGTATGGTATCATATAAACAGGGTATGCATCTGGTTGGTGACTGTCTTCTAGAGTGCCTGCTAGAAAAGCAGTGGGGATATAAACAAGAAACTCCACAAACTTAAAATGACTCTGTGCTACTGAGTCATGGATGACACTGAGCCACAGCATTCCGTATTGTTAAAGTGGGAGCTAATAAGTATTTACTTCACAGAGTGTCATGGTTATTAATCGTGAAAAGATTACACAGTGCTTTGAAGAGGTAAACTCTGTATCAATGCTACCTATTATTATCAGCTGTGATGCTATCAGCCTCGTGTAGGATCAGGAATAGGTTGTTTTTCAGAAATTAATTTCTTTTGAAGAGGTCTGCCACCATGCATTAATGAGATGTCAGTAACAGTTACTGTTCTCCTGGTGATTTTGGGCTTCCAGTCAACCTGCCATCTCATGAGCTGTTCAAGTAAGGGATAAAAGGGACCAAGGAACAAAAGCAGCATTGAGGTTACAATGATGTGCCTGACAAGAAAATTGATATTTCTAGAAATGCTTTTGAACTGACTTTAAATATTCACCATATATCCATTCCTTGAAGCTTCTTCTAAGCACTGACAGTGCATTGCTCCACATCCACAGTGTGCTTCCAAAATCACACAACCAAATGATTGCTGGCTGAGCAGACTTACATGCTCAGCATTATATGTCATGAGCGTGCTGCTGTCATCCACCTGAAATACAGGCCCTGTGCCAGAAGCAGCCTGTGGAAAAATTGGAGACTCCTAAACCTAGCTAAGCGTTGAATCAACTGGGAGTTTTTGTTTGTAGCTTAGGAAAAATGAACTAGCAGTACTCCACCAGTTGCTTGAAAATTAATTCTAGGGGTAATCTTTGCTCTTCTTCCAACTCGTACACCTTCTGTGTATCAAAGCTACATAGAGAAACAGATTTGTGTTGAACATTTGGCTGGTATTTAGGACATGGATGGTATTTGCTGAGGTATTTAAGTGCCTTGAACAACAGAGTACTGATTGAGGTATTTGGTGAATTCTCAAGCATAAGGGATACATGTGCATAACACAGCATGATTTTTATTCTCTTATTGCAATACCAGAACAAGTTGTGAAGCTCAGGACAGCTGTAACTCTGCTGGAATGCCTGCAAAGGTCATGTGTAATGTCCACTAGATGGCCATGGCATTGCTCTTCAGTATCCCTGTAACACCCTGGACTTCACCTGCTTGAAAACCAGGCAGCCACCTCTTAGACTAAATGGAAGGGTTCTGGCAAAAGATATTAAAACAAAACAAAACAAAAAAAAACAACAACAAAAAAAAACAGAAAGAAAAAAAAATATTTTAAAATCTCAGCTGATAAAGGCTTTGTGACACAAGGTTAGTTACTCCACGTTATACACTGAAAGCTTGTAAGTGCTGAGCCATTTCAAAGGAGAATGTTGTTTCTTGGTGCAACATGTACAAGCACTCACCCTTTAATCTCTGATTGACAGCTCTTAAAATGTACCGTCTGCACAGATCTTTCATGGCACAATAGGTAGTGTTTCAGTATTGTCTTACAAGTTATTTGAAATCATGACTATGATTTAAATTGGAATTTATGTACAGTGCATGCAAGATAGCTTGGGGTACTGACATGCCTGTTCAATGAGAGTCTATGAACATAAAAGTTTTCTGGAGAAGTATGGTTTTCTAACAGATTTTGCCCAACAGCACAGAAGGGTTCACGTGCAGCCCTTGACAGATGATATTTCCTCTCAGAATAACTGTTCTTTCTTCCACCATAGCTAAAATTAACCCCCCACACACATACCCTCCCCCGAACACTGCATCCCACCACCCAACTCAGCCCTTTCCTCAAATCAACCAACCTTTTATTAATTTCTTCGATGCTGCTTCAGCATTATCCTAATTCAAACCACTATTCTGACACTGCCAGCTACTAGTCTAAACATTGACACCTACCAGGAGAGCAAGTACATGAAGGTCTCTGTGCAGAGGAAGGAAAGGACCTGGGTGTGTCCATGTGTAGAGACAACTGCAGCATCTTGGCCATCCCCATTCTTTTATTTGGCCCTGTGGTTTTTTATTAGATACATTATATAACTAACCATGCTTGTGGATCATGGCTATATGGCCGGCCCTTGTGTATGTATCTGCTAAATGTAAACAACAGCCCATAAACTGTGCTGAAATTTTGCAGAACTATACCCTTCATGGTATAACCCATAACCTTTTCACAGCCTCTATCAGAGTAAAGCCAGAGGTGGGGAGACATAGAATAAGCAGATTATAGGACTTCTTTGGTTATTTATTTCCTGTCTGATATATTTCTGTAAGTACTACAGCTGCACTGCTCATTCCAAGCATCTCTTTAAGGCACAAAATGTTGTAGAAGGGTATGCTAATATGAACACTAAGAATGTTGTTTCCTTGCCTTTTTCCTTGGAAAATGTTGCCTCCACCAAACAAAAATGATGACAAGTCTCTGCATCTGCTGGGAATTGTAAATTAGTACTCAGCTTGCACAGTGTGATCACTGATAAAGTACATTTGCTGAGGTAATATAAGGTCCCTTGACAGTGCTGGTGATGATTCAGGCTTTTAGGCATTTTTCTGCAGGTGGGTCAGTAGGAATGTTTTGCCACCAGAGTTCCAGGGTTGCCTCAATTCATGTTTAGAAGCCTAATTTTTTTGGTTCCTCATTTGAAATCTTAATAGCTCATTGGACAGTGAGGGAGTTCTCTTGTTTGCAGATGGAAGATTTTCTTCCCATGTTTTCTGTTTTCTCTCTCTGAGAGGTTTGCAGCCAGAGAGCTGACATTTAGATATGGGATAGCAAATGCTTCAGAGCACAACACTATACTGTGGTACCTCCATCGATGCCTCTGAGACCAACCCCATCTTACCTTAGATTCCTCTGATGATTACTCTACTGTTCTTCAATTAGAATAACCACCATGATGGTCCAAAACAAAATAAAAGGCTCATTAGCCAAGAAAAAAAAAAAAGAAAAAGAAAAATTCTTGATTTTCCAAGACATGCAGCTGAAGTAGGCTGGAATTAGAATCGCAGAATCATTTAGGTTTGAAAAGACTCTGGACTTGGCAGTGCTTCCTCTCCATGCTCTTTGCTTCATGTGCTAGTTTCCCCTTGTACCTCCTCCACCTCTGTCTTCTTGCCTCCTCACACTGTCACTTATGCTTGGAATACTTTGCCAGCCAGTGAGTTCCATGCAGCTTTACTTCCCCTTTAAAAATCATACTGAAAACTGTACCTTCCAAAGTTGCCCTTGTTATTGCCAATAATTAGTATCTCTTTGATTGCACTCCTGGTATTGCTTTGAATTGTACACACTTCTGAATTTTGTCTTTGATCTTGTAAGGAAGCTTGAGGGTACAACTTCTTGCAGGATTGGTGTTCTGTATTATATATTTAGGACGGCAGGGATCCAGCCTTGATCTGAACCACTTTGGTAAATGCCCGTGTGCTCTGGCCACAAATGGTGTAATACTCTGTGCAACGGTGCTAAATAATTTAATCACTTTTAAAAGTCAAAGTTTGGTCTAAAATATTGTTCTTGTTTTATTCTACAAAGTTTGGAGATTCTTTCTTAGCAGGCTTTTTTATTTAATTATGCAAGAATTATAAGTGATTACTTTGTCTTTCAAATAACATTGTGTTCTTTCCTTACACAGTTATATGGTATTAAATATCCATGCTTTTCAGCTTCCAGCTTTAATGTTATTTCTTAAAAAAAAAAATAATTTCAGTAGCATGAAACTGCTTTAAATAAAAGTGTAATTGTTCAACTGAAGCAGGGGAGAAAGCATCAGGGTTTTGTACGATGTTTCTGTGAACACACATGTATGTGTATGCGCACAGAAAAGACTGGTACCCAAGAGAGCAGCATATACATTTGTAATCAAATCTCGCTTAAATTTTTAACTTGTTCCTTCTGTTAAACATGCAAATATTTCTGTTCTCTTTGCAAATTCAGCCTCTCTGCTCATTACCAAACCTTTCAGAAAACATATAAGCCGACGTCTTCCCCTGATCAGGCTCTTAATGTGTTTTGTGTCGTCTTTATTTAGACTGTAAATTTGCTGAAGTAGGAAATGTCTTATAAAAAAACAGCTATACCGTCTCATTTCACATCCAAATTCTTCTCCTGTACCAGCTGTGTGTGTTTGCCTAGCAGCAAGTCTTCTGTTAATGAATGACTTGTTCTCATTAGCTTGTCAGGCTGGATATGTAGCCTGTAGTTCCCACTCATACAGAGCAGCGCTCCTTCCCTTGTAGCTTCTAGTAAATCAGACAATGAGACATACAAAGCCTTGTGTCTCTGAGCCTGACCTTTGTACTTGTACTCATTAACTAAGACAGAATGCCAAAATAAGGTAACTAGCTGCTGGTTACATGTATTTAACCTAAGTGGAGTCCTATGGGCTGCTTGGTGCAGGGATTCTTGCAGGCTTTACTATCAGCTGCTACTTCTAAGCCCTCTTTAAAAGAGAGGGAAATGGCAGAGCCAAAGGTGTTGCACTTGATACATTTCTTCTGTGAAGTTGAGGTCCAGAGTTGGAGGTTTTAAAAATGAGGCTCTGAGCAGCTTCATTTAACTTTGAAGCTGTCTGTGCTTTGAGCAGGAGACTGGACTAGATGGGCTGCAGTGATCCCTGTAAACTAAAATTCTTATTCTAGCAAAAAGTGAGTTCACCTGCAGGTTTATGCACCATTTGGAGCATAAACTAAGACTGTCCTCTAACTAGGCTGAATTGGTTACAAAAGTCATAGGAACTGAATATTTCTGGAATGTCTGTCTCTCCATCTGATTTGCATAAAATAGGCCAACAGGTTCTGAAGTTATTGGGAGGTAAAAGACAGCTAGGGAAGACAGACAATCCCTTCCCTGCACACATAGGACAACTGTATAAGCCTTGTTTTCTTAATAAAATCTTTCTTCCCCTTATCTTTGTGCAGAAAACTTGTCTAGTGTTCATCTAATGAGGCCTGAAGTCATACTACATACTCCCAGCTGCAGCCAACCTGAAATAATATGTCCCCAGAGCCAACAGCACATTTCATACAGCTGAGGCATTTACTGTGCAATCCAAACTATGCAGAGAAGTTGAGACATTTAGGAGTGAAACCCAGGCATCTTCTTTCTGATAGTCAGAGATTATATCGTTGTGCTCACACGAGCGTGTGTTTAAGTCTGCCTGGTGCCTTGTCTGTGTCAGCAGACACAGGAGTATGTCTGTTACCTCTGTGTCGTCTTCAACTTTCTCATATCCTAGAGTGACAGAAAGGGGAATTTGACCTCAGTGTGCTAGAGACCGCCTGGCTGTCTGCCTTTCCCTTTTTGTCTACTCTTTCTTAGGATGCAGTCACACTACAAAATTACCTTGAGTCATCAGTCTTGGAAGTTTTTCCCATGGGTTGTTTGTGATAAAGGGCAGACATACTAGACACATTACTAACCTGTGCTGCTAGGGAAGGCACTGATAAGGCATGAGTCCACTGTGGATTGTATGTGCTTCTGAGATTTCCGTCTACCTGAACCAACACCACATCCCTCCCTAACATTTCTTCTGCAGGGGAGCAGTCCTATAGCTTCATTCCACAAAACTTGCCTGATTATCCGAGAGTCTCCTTTAGCAGCCATGGCAGCAGATTAATCTGTTTCCCTTTCTCCCAGTTTGCAGAGAACACACCTATCTTTGTCTGCTTTTGATGGCCCTGAAAAACATTACTTCTGTGGTCCCAGGAAAGAGCTTTAGAGCACTTCTATTTTCTGCCTCACAGGGAAGCAGGAACTGTGAAATCACCAGCATCCTCTGTTTGTATGTTCCCTGGAACTGTTATACTGTGCAGTCTGAAATAGAGATCCAGCCTCAGGGATTTGCTAATGATGCATTCAGTCTCAGCATGGCACATGCTCATTCCTGGGGAGTTACTGAGTTAGCATTTATAGTTCTACACCTTTCCTCTGAGTAGAAGAAACCCGCTGATTTTCCCTTAGCACTGAGGTCTTGTGCGTTGGATTCTCTTCTCATGACAGCTTACTTGGAATGCCACCAGAAATCTTTCAGCCTGGATCCTTTCTCCTAAAATCACAGACTACAGTAGCATCACACCAGTGATTCTCCCATAACTTGGTGTCTGATCAGCAGGGAACAGTAAAATGAGGTCTTATGAGATGCAATTTCAAAAAACCAAAGACTTATGCGCTGAAGGTGGGCGATTGTTGCTGTGGACACTGGAAGCCTTTTGCAACTGTGAAAATTAGCTCACAAATAGGAAGCAATAAGCAGTCGGTCAGGAAAGCACAAGTGGAAAAAACCTGGTGAGTGACCGCTGCTGTTTGCTTCAATGGTACTCTTGTGGGTCCCTACTGTAGAGAAATGGCAGTCGTAAAGGATGAAGGGAATTCACTCAGGGCTTACCCTGTTCTCTGGTTGTTTTGTCAATTCATGTTTCTGCAGCCACTTTATGCAATGAGGGAATTTTTTTGTGTGGGCAAGGGTTGCACTAACAGGAACACTTTTACTATATTTCATACTAACTTGCTAGTGAAGACAAGACCTCTCTTGCATGACCTACATGCCTGAACTCAGAATCCCTCCCCTGGGCCTGCCATCTTCAGATTTAAATCCTTTAAACAAGCTCAAGTTTTCATCTCCTCATCCATATTTCCAAAGCATGTAAGCCTCAAGGCACTAGGCCAGTAACGGAATAGTGCTAAGCACAAAGATGTTTTTATGACCACATCAACTCTGTGCAATACAGGTCAACTGCAGCAAACCCTGCAGATTGCTTCACCTCCCAGTGTAGTTCCATTATAACATCCCATTTTTGCCAGTCCTCAGCTGATAGCAAAACTCCTCTTTTGGCTTTGTAACTCTTTGAGGTTTTGGGGTTTTTTTTTTCACTTTCAGTGAAATGCTCTTGAAAGCTGCCAGAGACTCGGCTGTGACAAAGATCTATCTGAATTTGGGGTTTTGGAAGTGTTCCTTCACACTTGTCATGTCTTTTAATAAGCACTGCATTGTACCAAGTCTGTACATTCTTTACTGTTCTACTTGTTGCTATGGCCAGAGGTGCCAAGTTTCAGTCTGAATCTTTTGAGAGACTAGACAGAAATCTTGATTTTCTTTTTTTCTGCTTAGTTCATGCTCCTGGCCCCTACAGTGTTCTCCCTTCACCGTTACCCAAAACTTCTTTCCAAGACAGGAAGGCTGGAAGCCCCTGCCCTCTCCAGTCCCTCAGCTTGTATAACCAGCAACGGTCTCTCCTTGCCCTGAATCATAGTGGCAAAGAAGTGAACACATGGATGGATTCCCTCTCTGGCTAGGTGTTTCCAAAATCAGGGAGAGGCAGAAAGGAACAGATGGGAATGGCCTTAACAGAGAAGAGGGAAGTTTTTCGCAGGGGAGCTACAAAGGCATGGCATTGTCAGTCCATATCAAGCTTGGAAAAGGCTCTTGCAGAAGGGAGAGCAGCAGGACACACTGCCTCATTGCCATGGAAACAGCCAAAAAGCTGGCTGGGCAGATTTAGAAATGTCTCCTGCTTGGGACTAACTTTCGGAAGATGGCATCTATCTTCACAGAGATTAAAAAAAGGTGGAAAAGCGGAAATGTCCAACACTGAAAGCTGAAAACGTGTTTTTCTTTCTTAATCTACAATGGAGAGTCAATCTTCCATGGCTTTATGAAGATATTTTTTCTCCTCTGAGAAATACATCCTGGCTTTGATGGGGATTATTTTTCCCCATGTCTTCATATTTTTGGGGATTTTTCATTACAATGATCAAACACTTCTGGCATTATGATTCTGGCTGTCATTTTGATACTCTAGATTTCTCCATGGTGCTCACTATGTCTTTTGCAAGCACATTCGCTACCTATGTGATATTTCTCTGTAAGATCTCTCCTTGATGGCCCTAAGGGTCTCATACTCCCTGAAAGAGGCTGATCTGTTCTCAACATAGCACCTCAATGTTGCTTTTTTGCCACACGCCTTTCAAATCCAATTGTTTTCCCGCAGCCTCATAATGTTATTTTGAAGACAGTCTAAAAGATTACAAATATATATATATTACAGCATGTGTATGAAATCCCTGCCTTAAGAACATGCTTCTGTTTCTACAAGTGGGGAGTGGAGAAAGCTGTAGAAGTCTCCCACATTAGAAAAGTGAAAAAGTTGATTACTGCACATAGAAAGTTATTAGTCCCCATAAGCCCTTTGCAAAGTAGGACTGTACATCTGTAAACTGCAAGCAACTGTTTTGGAAATCACCCTGGACCAGTCATTCCATAAGCACTAATTCTCTTCCATGTCCATCATCAGGTAGTGCTGTCAACAGAATGGTAGAAAACACTTGCTTGCAGAGTTTTCTCCACCTAAGCACCTTAGTAGCTGTGGAGAGAACAATAGCAAACTATTTTGTATTTACTTAGGGGGGGAGAGAAAAAATGCACATTTTTATGAAATATGAAGAGGAAGAGATTACTACTACAGAGTAGTGAGTTGTCATAAAACTAGGTGTAAAATGTCTCCTTTTCCACCTGCTGTGTCTTACCTCCACACAGAAGGGTCCCACCTGCGTAGCCCAGCTGGCAATCTGTGGAGTCACAAGGAACATGTACAGTTGCTACTGTAAGAACAGGAAGGAGATGCTGGCCAAGTCCAGTGCTGAGTTTCCACAAAAATATTTAGAAAGCCCTTATATGTGGGAGAGTCAATATGAGTAACTAGACCTGTTTGTTCTGGAACTATCTCTCTGAAGTCACTCTTCCAGGGCTGCCTGCCCATTTAATGCTGTACATTCCTGCTGAAATAACTTCAGAGACCAGGTCAATATTTTCATGCAATTTTAATAAGCAGCAGAATATGCTGCAAAATAAATCTAAGATTGGTTTGAGGTAGTGTCACCAAGTAATGATGATGATATATAATGTGGTTGGGACCCAGGTGAAATTGTTTCTGAGCCTAACAGAGAGAGAAAGCTGGGATGTTGCAGAGGGTGAAGAAGAGCAGGAAAAGACAGGAAACACAGTTCAGATTAGCAGGGCTAGGCAATAGTTATACCTATACAGATTCAATCTTTCATGATTTGATGTTTACAGATTAGAAGGATCTACTTCTTTTTAAATATACTGAAGAAATAACTTCCTCAAGTTAAATAAAACCCCAACAATCACACCAGCCCAGCTGCAAGATTCATTCCATTACTTCAGAGTGTTAGGGAAAGGAAAAGTTATTTATTCCTCAAAAAATAATGCAAGTTTCCCTTTTCAGCAATGGAATCACCACAATTAAGTTGGCTGTTGCACCTCCTGGTCTGTCAACGATTATTTTAGTTCTGTGGCAAAAAGTGATGCGATGTTTGAGGAGGGATACCGCTGCCCTCTGCCGGGAGAGATTTCTTTCCAACTGCTTCATCTTCCTGCAAAACTTGATTGCTTGGAAAGTAACTCGAAGTGGGGAATTGCTCGCTGGAGTTTTAATTCCTGCTGCCTCTGTCTTTCCTCCGAAATTTGCTGAATCTGTTTCACCAAATATTTTGAAAATCAGACAAAGTAAAGAGGAGCAAGGGCAAATACATACAAAATATTAACATGCTGGTAGCAGGAACTGTGAAAATTTGAACTGGAGATTTTAAAAAGCAATCTTTATGATGTGTAAACATTTCAGGCATCCTCAACAATATCTGCTGATATCTGCTGGAGCTAGTTTTCGGTTTTCCTGCCAAAATTCAATCATTCATTACCAGATCAGGCTGAATCCCTCTACAGTTTCTTAATTCTATATATATGTGAAATTATATGTGTGTATATATATATAAAATTATATATATATATTTAACTGCAGCACTTGCCTAACTGAGCTTTGGCTTCAGTCGTACATCCACACCATTTTTTCTGGTTATGCAGAAATTGAAGCTCATTTTACTGCTTCATTTATAACCGGCTTAACATTACAGATCTGACATTACTGTAGTTCTATTGTTTCCGGTTAAGGAAACATTAAGTGAAACATGTAATAATGTTTTTAACCACGTGAGGGAGCTATTTCATTTATACATCAGGATGTTGCTATTGCGCGTACATATTGGGAAATTATAAACAATAAATAACTTTTATACAGCTTATTATAGGATACATCCCACTTTACAGACACACGTGAAAGTATTAAGGCTCTTGTGTGACTGAATTTAAAGCCCACAAAGAAGTTTTAAAGGAATTAACCATTCTGGTCAATAAATGCCAGCATCAGGAACAGCCACAGCTACTTATTCCCTGACTGACTGACAGCAAAACTCTTAAAATAGAAAATAAATTAGAGTTACTAAGAATTAAGAGTAGGCAGAGATAATCACATCTATTTTGCAGCAGTGCAAAAAATGACAGGAGAGAACAAGACCAGGCACAGATTTTCTAGTAGGGTTGTGAAAGCCTCAACTCTCCGTCTCGCTTCCCTTGCCATCCCCACCTCTCCGTAACACAGGCCGGTACAGGCCATGCGGCTGCCTCCCCAGTGCCTCTCTCGGCTGCACACACCCCCCCACCCCCCAGTAGTAGTGGGGATATATCTGTCCACCCTGGGCATCACAAAAGCATGAACAGCAAAGGGTTTTCTTTATGCTTCCCCTGAGCTGATAGGCAGGCTCAGGTGCATCAAGAATGTCTACAATCACCAAAGTGATGGTACATAATGTGCACATGAGAGCTGTAAATTGCACAGACTACTTGGGGAGGGGTAGTGGAATAGAGAAAGACAGGGAGGAAGGAAGGAGGGAAAGGAAGGGAGGGAGGGAGGGAAGGAAGGAAGGAAGGAGGGAAGGAAGGGAGGGAGGGAGGCAGGAAGGAAGGGAGGGAGGGAGGAAGGAAGAAAGGAAGGGAGGAAGGAAGGAATCAGGGAAATAAGCAGTGCTGCAGAAATCAAGTTGCCTGGCACTGTGGGTAGGTGAGAGCAAGTGAAGCTGAAGCAAAAAGTTGGGGTGCCGGGGTTCCCATGTCAACAAATGGGAAAGACCACATGCTGATTCAGCCAGGAGTCCTTAGGAACGGTTGTGGTTAGGCAATCACTGGGCGATGCAACCCATAAGATTAACAGTACAACACTAAAAAATCAAGATTGCAATCACTGTAGTGACAAGCAGAGTAAATGATGTAGCTGATGAAACAGTGCAGCAATTTGGACTGGTGAAGACACAGCAGATGATGGGTGTGAGTGGCAGGTAGCAGAGGCAGCAATGCCTTCTTCCAGTTTCCTGTGTAAAGGATGGAAAGAAAGGTAAAAAGAAAAGCAAACTGACTAACTCTGAAGGTTACATACGTTTTACTTTCTATTAAATGTATCTTATGTATTTTATTAAATGTATCTTACCATCCAGAGTTAGGATTTTACTAATTTGATGAAATAGTTTCTTCAACAATTTGTTGAAGTTTAGGAAACTTCTGGATGTGTTGTTTTTGGGGGGTTGTTTTTGTTGTTTTTTTTCTTTTTCACTTCCTCACAGAGCCAATGGTGGCACCACAACACAATTCAGTGTAAACAGCACACCATTTTCAGCATGCAGGCACCAGCGATCATGTATAGCTTGATCTGAGAGTATCTTTTAGCAGTATTCTGTTCAAATCAACATCTTCAGAACAGGGGCAAAGTTATGTGAAAATTCCTGGTGCAATCATCATGCAGCTGGTCACGTTTCAGCAATCATAAGATTTTTTGTTGTTTTTTTTTTTTTTAACAGCTTTAATATTAAGCAGGATCAAGCCGGAGAAAGATGGGTGATGGGATAATAGTGTGAAACACACACTGCAAACTAGATCAGACTTTTTCATTCGGTGGCTCTGCTCAGAGTCCCCATAGAATATTTAATATAGACTAGTTCCAGCAGTCACACATCGAAAAAGAGTCTGTCTCGGGTGTCTGTTGGTCAAAACAAATTTGTTTTATTAATGGGTCTGATAGAAATGTTTTGATACTGCATTGTAGCTTTGCCCTTTAGTTTGGGACAACGGCTCCAGGTGCACCTGGGTACATATTGTGCACAGGGCAGCCCTTAAGTCATGCAGGGAAGGGAAGACACGCACTTGGAAATTAGTGGCTCAGCTCTGACTTTGGGAAAACTTCCCCATTTACACGGTGAGATGCAGCTCCTGAGAGGTTACTGGAGTTTGTTCAGTGGTGACGTGTTCCTGCGCTCCTCTGACTCACCAGCCGTCACGAGCTGTGTCTGACCAGGGAAACAGAGAAAGCGAGGGTGTAAACCCCAGCCTTTTGCCCAGTTCCGACCCTCTGCAGTACAGGCTGGGACTGGGAGGACCCCCCTCCAGCCAGGCCCCTTCTCGGCTCCCCCCTTGCTGGTGAGCTGCAGCTCATGCTTCCCAGGGTAAAACTCGTGAAGGTGAACACCCCCTGCCACAAAGCCCCACTTCTTGGGGGACAGGGGTTGCTATTTAACTTGGCAGGCACTCCATTTTTACTTCCCTTCGCAAATATTTCCCTCAGTCCCGTAAAGCCGTTTGAAAGAGCCTCACGGGGGGAATGCGCGTTTGTACCGAGCCCCGGGGGAAGTGCTCGATGAGAAAAACCGGGCTGTTCCCTCTGCGGACGAGCCGCTGGCTCTGCCACAGGTCTGCTAGCCTTGACTGCTGTGTCCTCCTCCCAGTTCCCTGCAGTAACTTGTCCTTGTGCCGGGCGGTGTGTGGGGAGGACGGGGGTCCTCAGGGCACGGTCAAGCCTGCCCGTACGTGCTGGGATCTCGAGCTGGGGGGCCACGGCTGTCCGTATCCCGGGGGCCAAGCTGCACCGTTCCCCCTGCCCCGCTTTTTATCCCAGGCGGGCCGGGCTCAGAGCGCAGAGACTGCCCCCCCCCCCGCCACGGCGGCTGACAGGAAACCCGGCGGGGGGGGAGGCGGGGGGGGGACGCGCCTCACGTGCCACCTCCCACCCGTCTCCTCGCTGTCCCCTCGCCGCGCGCCCCCTTTCCTCCTCCCCCCGCCCGGAAAGCTTACCAGCCAATAGGCGGCGGCGCCGCTCCCCCCTCCCTCTGCGCGGTGACGTGTGCGAGCCCCGGGAAGAGGCCCCTGCGCGCGGGCGCGTGGCGGAGGCGGGAAGCAGCTGCGGGGAGTTCAGCGGCTCGGTCCCCCTGAGGTGACGCTCCCGCGGGGTGAGGGCGGCCGTACCCTGCCCCCGGCCCGGCCCGGCCCGCGGGAGCCTGGCCGCTCGGCCCGCCGCCCCTGCCGGCTTCAGGCCCGGCCCGACCCGACCCTAGCGGCACCGGCGTCCTGCCGGCGCGGTGCTCCTACTGGGAGGAGGTTGTGTCCGGAGCGCTTTCGCAGGGCCGTGCGGCTTGGGGAGGGGCGCAGCGCCCCGCGGGCCGTCCTCAGGGCTGGGGCTTGGGGGAGGTGTCGGGGGGGCGTGGGTCTGATTGCTGGCTGCGGGTACCACCGCATAACTCTTCAGCGCTTGTTTCCAGGATGTTAGTGTAGAAGGTAGCTGACTTACGGTCTCAGGTGTGCTCCGAGTCTTGGCAGTGCTTTAAGCAGCTTCCATTGTTATCTGCGGGTTTGGGGCTTTTAATCTTTCTATTTTCTTTTCTGTTCCTCTGGTTTTGCACGTTGCCGATGGGCTGTGGAATGACCTTAACTTTGATGTGGTACCAGCCCAGTGTGCAGAGAGCTCTGCTGGTACCGAGCATGTAGCACACCGGCTCTGCTAGTTGATGTTATGCCCTGAGGGCAGAAGGAAAACCTTGGAAATATGAAGGGTGTTTGGGATATGGTTATTAGTGTAAGCGCTTTTGGAGGTAGAAGATGTGCCCTAACTGTGCTTTTGAAATGCAAAGATTTACTTCCTATAGCTTGTCTCCTGAGGCCTGCTTATAATTACCAGTGTTTCGAAAGGGGAGATGGAGAAACTCAAGCTTTCTGAGACCTTTTACTAGTACCGTAACGCAGTCATGCCTATGAAATCAGGGAGTTTCTGCTGGGAAATCTGGTAATGGGAGATATTTGTGGTCCTGCATGTCCTGCAGGTGCTGAGTGGGGGAAGGAAGAACTAGTGAAGGAAGGTGAGGGGCAGTTTCTTTTTGTGATGGTGATAGTAAACGTTTAGAAGTTATCCTGGCATTGTGTCATGATTGATTTAGTTCTAGCAGAGATAAGAGGGGAGGTCTGATGCCCTCTGTGTGCACTGATGTGCTGATGGTTGCTTAGGTACTGTAATGTTACACCTCTCATCATATGGGGACTAGACCAGGAGAATGTTTTCACGTATTTCCCCTAGAACTGTTCTTGTTTTGATGTGAAAAATCTGAAATTAGTACCTCTTTAAGTTAATTGCTTAAACATCCCCCCGTTCCTCCCCCCCTCCAAGGCATGATTTTTCTTTCCCCCATCCTGAAACTATTTCTGATTTCTTTCTGATAGTCTTTTAGTGAGATACTCTTAACAACTGTGCACTGGAGAGAAAGGAGTGCCTTCTTCACCTCTTGAAGGTGATGAACAGTGTACTGAGAATTAAACTTGTGACTGTGTGTTAGAGCTGGAAAACCTGTAGCTTTAAGAACAGATGTGGCTCACAACAACTTGGAGGAGGAGACAGTGGAGAGGCTCACTTAGTGGCCCAAGGAGTAGCTTGTTAGTGCATGAATTTATAAGGCAGCTTCATTTGTCCCTTCACTCTTCTGTAGACCCTATTGTGTGACAGAGTGATCCATTCTTAGCCTTTGTTAGGATTTGGGGCATCTCTTTTCTGTTAAAGCAGGAAGATTGAAATGCTTGCCTGTCCAGCATCTCCAGGTAGTTGCAAGCCCCAGGTGGGCAAAATAATCCTTTGCTCTAATGTGATTGTGGGAAGGCTAGGAAGTGGAAAGAGTAATGTCTTCATGATGGTGACAGATGCATGTTTAAAGGCAGGAGCATTTCAGCAATAACTGTGTGTGGAGCTGGTAGGAAGTGGGTATGTCCTGCCAGCTACCTTTTTGTACTGGTTAGTATGGTTACTGCAGGAAGATTTGTCACATTCTTGCTTTGTTCTTTGTTTTTCATGTAAGTATTTTTTTCATTATGTAAAATACTATAGTATGTACAATAATATGTACAATAGCTATCTGGTGTTGTGCAAAGCCAGCTGGGAAGTTTGCCATTTTTATGGTCTTTGTTTTACAGTTTGTAGTCCTGGCTATGATCTCTTGAGATGGAGCTAAGAGAGGCCATGCTGCCAGAAATGGTGTTGGTGATTGAATTAGTGATTTGTTGTTTGGTGTTGCAAAAGGGTTTTTCCCCTATATGCTGTGATGCCTGAAAGGAAAATGAGAGACTGTTCTACTAGAGAGACAAACATAGGAAGTCGAGTCCTGAAAACGTCTGATCATGTCTTACTTCCCTTTTGCAGAAGTGCCAGCCTCCTATTCTGAGGAAATCCATCCTTAAGTAATTCTGTTCTGCCATCTTAGTTTTCCTGCAAGTGCATGAATTTTCCTTTCCTGTCTCTAACAGCTCATCTGTGCTGGTACATGTATTCTGTTCACTGGCAGCAAAACACGCGTCTCAGAGTTTGTGCCAAGATAAAATATATCAAAAAGAAGTGTTAGTTTGAAACTGGTT